CCTTTCTTTAAAGGACAAGTATGTTCCTTATGACCATGATAATGACAATGTGAGCATATTGTCATTATTGAATTATTTGAAATGATTTCTTTTTCTTTTGTTAGGCATTCAAGCTTAACTTTCAAATCGAAATTTTCTTTTTCAATATTTTCAAACTTCATTTTTGAAAATTCTAAATCCTTCTTCAGCATTTCATTTTGTTTTTCAAAATCCATTTTTGATTTCTAAAAGAAGGTTATTTAATTTGAAAATTTCTTTTTCAAAGTTTTCAGGTTTTATTTTTGAAAGCTCTAACTCCTTTTTCAACATTTCATTTTGATTTTCCAAGTCTGTTTTAGCTTTTAAAATAAGCTCATTTTTAGCTATAAATTTAGAAATCAATTTATTGTATTTGGAATTCATGGTCTCAAACTCCGAAAAAAATTTATCATAAGCATCTTGTAACTCACTAAAGGATTTTGAATTTAATCTATTTGAGTTAGAAGATACCTTTGGCTCTGTGAGAGCTAATAAAGACATCACTTTTATTGGTTCTTCTTTTTTCTCGTCTCTATAGATCTCCTCAAGCTTTTCCCATATTTCCTTGGCACTTGAACAAGAAGAAACTCCTTTATATACATTAGGATCAATTGCACAACACAACATGTGCATAGCCTTTGAGTTTTGTTGAGCTTCATTCCGTTCTTGAACACTCCACTTCTTTGCCTTCTTAGTAGGAGAGGAATATCCTTTCTTGATTATCATCCAAGCTTCCATATCAAAAGCTTTGATGAATATCATCATACACCTCTTCCAACGACGATAATTTGTTCCATTGAAGTGAGGAGGCACGTCAATTGGTCTGGATTCTTCCATGGAGAATGAACCGGAAGTGGATGCCATTTTATCGATTTAACTATTCCCGGATCTACTCAAGAGGCGGTTAAACCTTCAAATGAGTGAGGCTCTAATACCAATTGTTGAGTTAATCGATCGACGGAATCGGCCAAGAGGGGGGTGAATTGGCAATTAAAAATTTCGTGGAAGCTTTTGCAGAAAAATTGAAAGTAATTGCACAGCGATTTACAGTGGTTCGACTTTCTCAAACAAAGTCTACGTCCACTACCTTAGCTATCCACACTAAGGATTTTCCAACAAATTCACTAATTTGTTCTTTCTTTTGAGGCCAAAGAGATAACCTTACAAAATCCCTCAAGAGTATACCCCAACTCTTGAGAACACTCTTTTTCCCAAAGAGAAGATTACAAATTTGCAAACTTACAAGAAAACCTCACAAGGTAAGATGTTTGCACAATTCTAGAACAAGAAAAGAACACTCAAGGATAATTACAAATGAGCACAAATGGTGTTCTTGAAAGCAAAATGAATATTGAAAGGAAAATTGGCTTGATTTGCACAAACTTGGTGTTTGATGCTTTCTCTCTTGTTTCTCTATAATTTCTTATTGATCAAGGCTTCAGAACTTGTTTAAATACACCTTGAATCTCTTCTGAATGTTGGGGATGATTAGTGAAGATCATATAGCCGTTTTAGTATGAAAACAATTAATAAAACAGTTTGGAGCGTGGGGGGAATCGGTACCCCCTATGGGGAATCGGTTCCCTAAGTGTAAAATTCAAATATTTCGACCGTTGAACAGGGGGGAATCGGTACCCCTTATGGGGGAATCGGTTCCCTCCGAGCATTCTGGAAATCTCGGAGCCAAACCATTCAGGGGAGAATCGTACCCCTTTGGGGGGGAATCGGTTCCCTCTGAGCAATCTGGAATTTTTGGCTTTGAAATGGTTCGAAATACTTTGAAAGATTATTTTGAAATTATTTTAAGATTAAAACTTAATTTTACACTTAAGTAAGGATTAAAAATGATTTTTGAAATATTTTGAGTAATGTTTTGATATTCGAATAATTATATCGAATATACTTAGAAAATCATTTTGGAAAATCTTAAAATTCATTTAACTTAATTTGTTATATCGAAATATCAAAATGTTTTCAACAGATGACCTTGATGTTGTCCGAGTATGCCATTTATTACTTTTTCATGCCGGCTTTTTAGGCAAAGAGAGCAGACAACCTATTTCTGAGGACCTAATATTATTGGTAGAGGACCTAAATGCATGGAACCTGTTTTCGTGGGGTTCATATCTATGGAAAGCTACCTGGAAGAAGTTGTTGTCTGCCCTTGAGGACTGAAAAAGTTTGCAGGGCGATGGTTCTAAATACACTTTGGCAGGCTTTATTTGGGCCTTTAAGGTAAGAATTTCTATATAATGTTTCCAAATTTATAATTTATTATTTAACAATTACTGATGTTTGTGTATTATATTGTTTGTAGATTTGGATATTTGAGGCTTTTCCCAGCATGCGGACATATGCGATAAAAAATTCAAATGATATTCCTAGGGCTATTACCTGGAGGAGGATCCGCCTGTTGGATTGGGAAGAGTTACTACCATATACGACGATGAATGATGTAAGTTAACACACAAATACTACCATATATAACAAGTTATTACTAGTACACGTTTAACTTTGTTTGAGCTTTTATATTGTTATGAGGCCAACTATCCATTACAGAGGCTGACACCCACAGAGGCTGAGCTTGCCACTGATTGGTGGCAAGCTAGTAAGCGATTTTTTGATGGGACGGATGATGAGCACCCCCCACTTCGAGAGCCATCACCTGATCGAGCCTCTTCTCCACCTCTACCATCACCTATTCCATCACATCATCGAGCATCTTCTCCACCATCACCGGGTATTGACCAAGTTCAAATTTTGAATACTGACTAGTACTTACAATTTTTCTGTTGGCTCATAATCGTCTAACTGGTCAATACGAAAACCGAAATTTGGTGCTGAAAGTTGATTGAGATTTGGATTAGGAAAAGGTTGTGGGTTTTGAGATTGTGTTTGATATTGTGTTTGGTATTGGAAATGTGGTAAAACAAAATTTTCTTGGTGATGAAATTGTGGTGGAACCATTAAATTTTGAGGTTGATAACAACGTTGTACATTGTGAGCACCATAAACTGGGGTTGAAGAACTTAGTTGATTACTACCCGCTACTGACCCAACTTCACTACTTCTAGGTTCAACAACATACAATGTAACATCATCTTCTTGCGAAACACTAATGTAAGCAATGAATCGTTCAACATCTTCATTATCGGTTAACAAATAAACTTTACATTTTCTCTGATAAGATAGCCTAAATCCACTTAGAGGCTCTAAATTCAATTTCTTTGCAACATATAACATTAGAGTTTCATAAGTTAACTTTTTTAATGACAGTTTTAGTTGAAGATTCATGGGTAAAGGCACATATTATAAAACACCATGAACATTCTCTCATGACCCTCCAAAACACAAATCTATCCAAACATGATCAACATTAGATGATTTCATTGTACAAATTGTAAATTAATTTACTAAACAAACGAGCTATAAACTACATATCATCACTAACTTAGAGAAAAACATACCTTTATTAAGTTGATAGTTGATAATTTGGGAGAGAAATCATTGAAAAATTATATTGAAATAAAATTATGTAAAAAAAAATTAGAGATGGGGAAGGATGTCGTTGGATATAGGAACGGATGTCGTCGGAGAGAGTGATAGATGAAGATGGAATGAGTTGCGATTTAGGGATTAGGTTATGAGTTACTACTGCTACGTAGTTATATACCCAAAACATTTGTGTTGCGAAACTAAAACCTGTTGCGAAATTAAATTCGTGTTGTGAATTCGAAAATCGAGTTGCGAATTTGAAATTCAGTTGCGAATTTGGAAACTGGGTTACGAAATTGGAGTTCGCGTTACGAATTTGTTGGTCATTTTTGCAAATCCAAAAAAAGTTGGTTAAAATCGTATATTATAAGGCATTTTCGGTCATTGAAGTTATTTTCTCTAAGTTAAATTATATGTTTTATTTATATTTTATTAGAGAAAATATAATATATCGATATAATATTATACTGTTGAAAAATTCTTAAGTGAACGTCGTATATTAAAATACATAACTAACATAATACATTGAAATATACTATTAATTAAATTATTCTTATTACGTAAATATTAAGAGGATAAACTAACCTTTAATATTTAAACTATTACTTTTGTTTCGTTTTAATACCTAAACTTTACTTCTTTTTCAAAATCATACCTAGCAATATTTAATTTAAGTTTCAGTTTGGAACCCACAATGTCAATGCAGACTGATATGTCAATTTATTATTATTATTATTATTTTTAATTTCCACATCATATTTCTTTTTCACCGTCAGTATTTTATTAATTAATTGTATTCAATCAATCATATGATGACATGTGTCACCATCTAGGAGGATAAGATAAAAAAAATCATTCTTTCTCTCAACATGAATTGAATCTAAACCTCTTGCATGAGATGTAAGGCTCTCAATCAATGAGCTAAGCTAGTAACTTAAATTAATTTCATCATATTTTACATTAAACTTATATAACAATATCACTACCAAATCTTCGTGAATGAGTCTATTTGTGTCCTTGTCGAAAATCGAATCCATGAGGGCACAACGAATAATGTCATTAGTCGGTTGGGTTTTCTGAATTCTTTCGGAATTGAAGCAAAGGCGGACAAAGGAGTCTTCGTCAGGGGTTACAAGAGCCCCAGGGGTGGCACTTTTGAGGGGTGGCACTTGTGTAGGGGTTGCTTGGGATACCCCAGGCACCATGGAGGTCCACCCCTGGATGAGGGGTTGCCCGGGATACCCCGGGCTCCATGGAGGTCCGCCCCTGAATTGAAGCCCTCGATAGTATCTGGCTCTGCTGGTATGATTCTATTCATATCGATATTTTATTGAGCCATTTTCAGTTTGTCCATTGTCGTATCACAGATACTCGGCGCAAGGCTAGATCTCCCTTTCTTACCACTTTTGTTTATACCAGTCCTACTGCAGTTTGCACAAGATCGAAATATTTTTGGAATTACATGCGCTCTTTAGCGACCATCACCAATGAGCCTTGGAAATTTCAACGCCACTTTATTTCCACAAGATCGAAATGGTAGTGCCCCATCCTCTTCTACTGATTCTGATGTCAACGGCATGGTTTATGAGTATGACTGCAGTTTGCAAGACCTGGGATTTCATGGTCCGAACTTCACTTGGTTCCGAGGTACGTGTTCTGTCCTTCTGGATCGTTGTCTGGGAAATTCGGCTTGCTTTGAATCTTATCTGTTGTCCTCTTTGGAATATCTCACTAGAATGAAGTCTGACCACCGGCCTATTTTGTTGTCTAGCCATCCTACCTCTTTGCGACGAACCTACCCTCCTTTCCGTTATTTTTTTGGGTGGAATTTGCATGGTGATTTTAAGCGCCTTGTGACTGATAATTGGGATTCTTCTTTACCTATTATGGATTTGCCTCTTTCACTACTGCGGCTGTCACTTGGAATCGTGATGTTTCGGGTCCATTGGCAAGAATAAAAAAATCTCGATGGCCAGATTAAAGGGTGTCCAGCGATGCCTTGGTGTCGGGCGTACACAGAACCTCCTTGCTTTAGAAACGACCCTTCTCCTTGACATTGAGACGTTGCTTAAACAACAGGAACTTCTATGATTCAGAAATCGCGAGCTGATTAGATCCAAAATAGAATCCATAGCCTCAAGCTTAGTGATGATAATTGGTGTTCGGATAACGACATGCTTCAGATTGTCGTGGTTGACTTTTATAATCAATTATTTTCCCCTCCTCAATCGATGCACGATTCCCGCCTAGCCTAATTCGCCTTATTTTGCTGTGCATCTCCTCTTTGGAAAATCAAATCCAATGGAACGTCACTTTGAGCAATAGCTTTAAACGCGGGAAAGGAATTCGGCAAGGAGATCCCCTATCGCCTTACCTATTCGACTATGGAATGCCTCAGTCATTGCATCTCCAATCATGTTTCAGATGGATCGTGGACGGATTTCAAACTGGCTCGACATGGCACCCCAATTTCACACCTTTTATTCACAGATGATCTCATCATTTACGCTAAAGCAGACTCGAATAATGCTGCTCTAATTGAAGAAACCCTTGATATTTTCGGTGAGTTCTCCAGCCATAGGGTGAATAAACAACAGACTACTATTTTTTTTCTCGCCTAATACCGATAATGCTTTGCGAGGGGCATTTGTCATAAGCTTGTTTTAGTGAAGTTGGCAACCATGGTAAATTTCTTGGTGTGCTAGTTCGTCATTCCGGTGCTACTAGAGAACTTTACCAATTCATTCTCGACAAAGTTCAACAGTGGATTGATGGGTGGTCGAGCCGTACACCTTCATTTATGAGATGAGTCGCTTTAGCGAAATTTGTCTTATTAAGCATTCCTCCTTTTATTATGCAAGCCTGCAAGCTTCCGGCTACTTTATGTGACAAAACTGAAAGCTTGGTTCGTCGCTTTATATGGGTGGGTTCTAATGCTTCCTCTAATCACATCTCCCTCGTTAAATGAAACACCCTTTGCCAGCCGATCGCCCATGGGGGCCTGGGTATTCGGAAAATAAGACTTCAAAATTTTGGTCTCTTATTAAAGATTTCTAATGCGCTTGTATAGTCTCCATCTGCTCTTTGGGTTAAATTGCTTCGTGAAAAATATGAATGGCAGCAGCCTCTCCCTATCTCCATTGCGCGCTCGAGCTGCTCCTCCTTTTGGCATTCTATCGCCAATCTTTGGGCAATGTTCCGTAACCATCTGGCTTGGTCTGTTGGTTCTGGAAATAGCATCAATTTTTTTTTTGGATAAGTAAAATTTTATTATCCAATAGAAGAGTTCAGTACAAAACATCTCAATCAAGGATCAAAGACAAATTATTTACAACAAAATATGGTTAGCCTATACCCCAATTGTTACAAAGAAAAATATTAACATTATCAAGTCTATTAAGATCTCTATTTCTAAGTTTGGTACCAACAATCTCCTTTATGGAGCTTAACATATCTTCAACCGTTCGAACCCTTGGAATAATCGTCTATTTCTTTCTTCCCAAACAATATAAATGAAAGAACACCAAGCAATCTTCATGATGGAAGTAAGGAGAGATTTACCTTTCCAAGTTGTAGAAGCCCATGCAAGCATATTATCCCATGACATTGGAGGCTTGGTTAAGTGAGTGAGATTTAAAATTTCATTCCATAGAGAAACTGTCATTGCACAATCAGCAAACAAATGATTTCTCGATTCAAGTGCATCATTGCATAAAACACAAGAACCAACAGTGGTAATTCCCATACGAATAAGCCTCTCCCTAGTTGGGAGTCTATCCAAGATAGCCAACCAAGAAATGATGTTGAATTTTATGATGTTGAATTTTGGGATGTGGAGGGGAAACCAAATAAGTTTGTGTCATGGGACCTTGTTACGTTTTACTCGAATTTCTTCCCAAATGCCTTTAGAATTCGTAACTCCTGCATTTAAAATAGGGAGAACCTCTGTTTTAATTTCAAAAGTCTTTTGAAGCTATAATTGAAAGAAGCACTTTCAGTCAACTGTCTAAAATCTTTAGACTTTATCACATAGCTATAAATCCATGCAATCCATAAAGAACCTTCATCAGCAAGTAGGTTTCGAATGAGCTGCATCATACAAACCTTGTTCCAGGATTTTAAATCCTTTAATCCTAGCTCTCCTTCGGATTTAGGAAAACAAATCTTTTCCCAGCTTACTCTTGCACCAGTTGCTGCAGTGTCAGAGCCTCTCCATAAGAACCATGAGCATAGCTGGTTAATCCTATTAATAACAGCTTGAGGAAGAAGAAACTGTCTACACCAAAAATTAGCTATACTTAGTAGGACAGATTTAACAAGTTCTAACATTCCAGCGTAGCTTAAGTGCTTCTCAGACCATTGATGTATTCTTAATCTGATCTTTTCAATAAGGGAAGAACATTCATTAGCAGTGAGTTTTATAGTGACTAAAGGAACCCCAAGATATCTCACTGGTATGTGACCATACTTGAAACCAGTTGAAAGTTTAATGTTCTCAAGGTTTCTAAGAGAAATACCAGCAGCAAACAATTCACTTTTGGCTGCATTTAACTTAAGCCCTGACATGTCATAGAATTTGTTCAGGACAATAATAACTCTAGTAACCGATTCTAAGTTTCCTTTACAGAAATTTAGAAGATCATCCGTAGAAGAAAGATGTGTGAGACCAATTTTTTACATTTTGGATGATACCTGAAAATACCTCTGGCAGCAGCAAGATTAAGGAGTCTTGAAAGGATGTTCATAGCATCAATTTTTGGCGTGATCTTTGGTCCCTAATCTGGGACTCCTTTCAAATTATGCCTCAGACCCTTCTTTAATTGATGATAATTTATAGGTTTGTGATGTAACTGCTGTTGATGGCACATCCATAACATACCACCCCTCTCTTATTACGGGTCTGGATTGTTTATTTTGGAATGTAGATCCAAAAGGACGTTTTTCGGTTCGGAGTGCTTTCTCCTCTCTTGATCGAATAAATTGGGAAGATAGGATTAGCCGTTGGAACTTAATATGGAAGCTTAATGTGTCGAAGCGCATCTGTGGTTTTTTATGGTTGGCTATTCAAGATAAACTCCTAACTAACCAGGTCTGTTGTGCTTGAAAAATTGGATCCTCTCCCGCTTGCTCCACGTACAATCACTCGACCGAATCACTGCTCCATATTCTTCGTGATTGCCCACTTACTCGCCAAGCTTGGCATGGCTTGACAATAAAATATGGTTTGAATAATTTCTTCGATCTTCCTCTGGAACATTGGTTACTTTCTAATCTGAATCTTTGCTTCCCCTGCACCGAATCAACTAGTCAGAATGTGCTCTTCTCCTCAATTATTTGGCAGGTATGGACGACTCGCAACAATTTCATTTTTCAGGTAACTCATATCAATTCGGGAATGTCTTTTCAATCTGGTATCACTTGGAGCAAATTGTATAGTGAGTCTACTGCTTTCCCATGTAACCGCCCAGCTCCTCCTCCCCTTGAAGTTCAATGGTTGCCACTTGAGGAGGGGTGGTTATGCCTTAACACGGATAGTGCTTTTTCACATTTGACTGGTAAAGGAACAATTGGCAGTCTCCTCCGATCTTCGACTGGGGAATGTCTATTTGCTTTTCGCAGATACATAGGACATACATCAGTGCTTGAAACCAAACTATGGAGTATCCTTGTAGGACTCGAACTTGCGTGGGATTATGGCGCCGAGAAAGTCATTGTTCAATCTGATAGTAGTGATGCTCTTAATCTCTACATGAAAGCATGGTTTGTCGATTTCCAAAAGATTTAATGCGAAGCTAATGCTGCGGATGATTACATAGGGAAAATGGATAGCACCCAAGATGGTCCCCTCCTCTCCTTAGACTCTTCCTACTCACTTACATGCTATTATTCACCGAGATATTGTTGGTCCCATTACATTCGTATGAAGACTTAGGGTGGGTTTGGTTTACGGAATGTAAGATTATCTTTGGGAATAACATTACTGGAATGTAACATTACCTGATACATGACTCGGAATGTTACATTACTGTGTTTAGTTTGTTTGGTAGGAATGTAAGATTACAGTGTGAAGATACTAATTTTTTACCCATATTATAAATATTATTATTATAATTATTATTATTACTATAATTATTATTATTATTATTATTATTATTATCATTATCATTATCATTATCATTATTATTATTATTATTAAATATATTAAATACATATAAATAATATTAAATTACAAGCCCAAATGCCGGTCCAAACCAAACCGAAACCCTAAAACATTTAGGGTTTCAGTTAGGGTTCTCTAACTCTAGCCGCCTCTGCTGCCGCCGCCGCTCCAAGAGATCTCAGCAGCCGCCTCTGCCGACGCCTCCCAAGCCAGATGGTTCAACCAGATGCTGCCGACACTACAGTACCACGCCCCTCGTCGATGAAGCCTCCAGAAGACCCAGCTGCCCTCCACACGTCAATGCTCAAGGGTGAGTCACCACAAGTTTGGTGACTCACCGAAACTCACTCTTTGGACCGGTCCGATGACCACACCGGTGATGGCTATAAAAGCCACCACCCGAACCTGCAAGAGAGGGACGGAGACAGAAACACAAACACAGAGACAGAAAAAAAAAAGATACACGGAGAGGAGAGAAAAACAGAAAAACAAGATAAAAAAACTACTACCAACGATCTCAGCAGAAAAGAAACAGAAAAGAAAGAAAAAGGAAGAAGAGAAACTTACCGAGGAAGCCCCGACCACCGGATCTCACCAAAACCTTCGAAAATACCGAAGGTATTTCTTTGGATTTGCTCCGATTGGGAGATATTTAGGAGAAAATAACACCGGAACCGTCCTTAGGACGGTCCGATCTACCCAATAATATAAAAATAAAATTTTCCGGCCACCGGATGCGGTGGCCGGCGGTGACGGTCACGGCGGCAGACGGTTGCCGTTCGGTGACCGGCTTCCCTC